ACAACCCTGCAAGGTAGATCAGGCCCCTCTCTTTCACCCAGTTAGACCAGAGTCTTTAGTGAGTCAACTGGGATGGCCTCTCATGGGTGGATTGGGCTGCTTTCTGGCTCCAGGTAGCACAGGACCTCCCACCAGGTAGCTTTTAGGCCCTCCTTGGCCCTATCTGTCAAGGCCATGCCTTCCACATTAGATCCACTTCATTATAAATACCCCAATATAGAAAGCAGAAGGGCTCCCTTGAGGGCATCTAGTCCAGCCCCCTGTCCTCGTTGAACTATCCCAGGCATGGGCAAACTTTGGCCCTCCTCCAAGTGTTTTGGACTTCAACTCCCACAATTCCTAAGAGCCAATAGGCTGTTAGGAATTGTGGGAGTTGAAGTCCAAAACACCTGGAGGGTGAAAGTTGGCCCATTAAAAAAAACTTTCAAAAGTATTTTGGGCAGTGTTTTGGTCTTTAAAAAATGAAGATAATTGCCCATAATCCGGGCACTTTAGCACCACTAATCCCCAGCTCTGTGGAATGACTAGTTTCGTGCAAAAACCGAGCCCAGAACCACAAGCAGAAGTGATGCAATGTCATTTTCAGTGTGCCAGGAAACCCTTGTTGACCCAAATATTTTATATTTATCATGAAATCACATTAGAATCATAGAATCCTAGAGTTGGAAGAGACCTGGTGGGCCACCCAGTCCAACCCCATTTTGCCAAGAAGCAGGAAAAATCACATTCAAAGCACCCCCAATAAATGGCCACCCAGCTTCTGTTTAAAAGCTTCCAAAGAAGGAGCCTCCAACACACTCCTGGGCAGAGAGTTCCACTGCTGATCAGCTCTCACATTGATCTAAATTACTTTGCTAGGCAGTACAAGTTTGGAATACGTTTTTTTAAGTTTTCCTACTTGTTTACATTTTGTGAACGGGGCGTATGGCAATCCATTTGTCGGACTCTGGAATTGTGCTTGAAATATCTAAATAGCAGAGCTTGGAAAAGACACGTGAGTTTGGTGATGCTGGGAACTGCACCACTTGTGGTGCCAACAACAACAACAATGGGTTGTTGTAGGTTTTTTCAGGCTATATGGCCATGTTCTAGAGGCATTCTCTCCTGACGTTTTGCCTGCATCTATGGCAAGCATCCTCAGAGGTTGTGAGGTCATGAACATGGCCATATAGCCCAAAAAAAACCTGCAACAACCCAATGATTCCGGCCATGAAAGCCTTTGACAACAACAAAGCCGCCCTGAGTCGCCTTTGGGCTGATATGGGCAGGATAGAAATAATGTTAAATAAATAAATAAATAAACAATAATGATAATTTATACCTCGCTTTATGTTTCCCAAAAGAGACTCAAAGCAGCTTAACATAAAAGCATTAGCATACATTTTGGGCAAAGTCCTGGAACGTGTGGTGGCCTCACAACTCCAGGTATTCTTGGACGACATGGATTATCTGGATTCGGCGTAGTCTGGCTTTAGACCGGGACATGGAACCGAGACAGTCTTGGTCGCCTTAGTGGATGATCTACGCCGGGAGCTGGACAGGGGGAGTGTGTCCCTGCTGGTGCTGCTGGACCTCTCAGCGGCCTTCGATACCGTCGACCATGGTATCCTTCTGGGACGCCTCGCAGGGATCGGTCTTGGAGGAACTGTTCTGCAGTGGCTCCGGTCCTTCCTAGAGGGTCGCTCTCAGAAGGTGTTATTGGGAGACCCCACAACCATTGTCTTGTGGGGTTCCTCAGGGTTCAATCTTGTCTCCTATGTTGTTTAACATCTACACGAAGCCGCTGGGGGAGATCATCCGGAGTTTCGGGGTACGGTGTCATCTGTATGCGGATGATGTCCAGCTCTGTCACTCCTTTCCACCTACTTCTAAGGAGGCTGTTCATGTCCTGAACCGGTGCCTGGCCGCTGTAACGGTCTGGATGAGGGCGAACAAATTGAAATTGAATCCAGGCAAGACAGAGGTACTCCTGGTCAGTCAAAAGGCCGAACAGGGCATAGGGTTACAGCCTTTGTTGGACGGGGTCACACTCCCCCTGAAGACACAGGTTTGCAGCTTGGGTGTGATCTTGGACTCATCGCTGAGCCTGGAGCCCCAGGTTTCGGCGGTGACCAGGGGAGCATTCGCACAATTAAAACTTGTGCGCCAGCTGCGCCCATACCTTGGGAAGTCTGACTTGGCCACGGTAGTCCACGCACTGGTTGCATCCCGTATAGACTACTGCAACGCTCTCTACTTGGGGTTGCCTCTGAAGACTGCTCGGAAGCTACAAATGGTCCAACGATTGGCAGCCAGGCTGTTAACAGGAGCGGCACTCAGGGAGCACACCACTCCTCTGTTTCACCAGCTCCATTGGCTGCCAATCTGCTACCGGGCACAATTCAAAGTGCTGGCTTTAGCCTTTAAAGCCCTAAACAGTTCTGGCCCGACCTATCTGTCCAAACGCATCACCCCCTATGAACCAGTTAGGACATTAAGATCGTCCGGGGAGGCCCTGCTCTCGATCCCGCCAGCCTCACAAGCACGGCTGGCGGGGACGAGAGACAGGGCCTTCTCAGTGGTGGCCCCTCGGCTGTGGAACGCCCTACCTGTAGACATTGGATCGGCCCCCTCCCTACTGGCATTCAGGAGAAGAGTGAAGACCTGGCTCTTTGAACAGGCGTTTAATTAAGCAGTGCAACTAATTGATTGACTATTGGAACATGGAACATGGAATAATGGACAAGGAGATCGGATTATGACTTTACTGATGAGACGTGATGGATTAGTTATATGGATGTATTGATGTTACATTGATGTATTGTTATATTGATGTAGTTATCATGATTACTGTTTTAAATGTTTTAAATGTTTTAGTTATCATGATTACTGTTTTAAACACCGCAATGAGTCGCCCCTGGGCTGAGAATCGCGGTATATAAGCGCAGTAAATAAATAAATAAATAAATAATGTTGTGCACTTTGTATACTGATTTGGTTGTAAACCGCTCTGAGTCGCCTACGGGCTGAGAGAGAGCGGTATACAAATAAAGTAAATAAAATAATAAATAAATAAAAGGTAAAGGTTTTCCCTTGACATTACATAAATCTAGTCGTGTCCAACTCTGGGACTCTGGTGCTCATCTCCATTTCTAAGCCAAAGAGCAGGCATTGTTCATAGACATCTTCAAGGTCATGTGGCCAACATGACTGCATGGAGTGCCATTACCTTCCCGCCAAAGCAGTACCTATTGATCTACTCACATTTTCATGTTTTTGAACTGCTAGGTCAGCCGAACCTGGGTCTAACAGCAAGAGCTCACCTTGCTCCTGGGATTCGAACCGCTGACCTTTCAGTCAGTAAGTTCAACAGCTCAGCGGTTTAATGAATCATAGAATCCTAGAGTTGGAAGAGACCATGTAGGGCCATCCAGTCCAACTCCATTCTGCCAAGAAGCGGGAAAATCACATTTAAAGTGCTCCCGACAGATGGCCATCCAGCCTCTGCTTAAAAGCCTCCCAAGAAGGACCCTCCACCACAAAGTCATCCATCTCACTGCTAGATTTGAATGAGTGGGGGGATGCTGGGAACTGTTGTTTCCAATAGCCTGGTTTTCTTTTTTCCTTTGAATTTGCAATTCCCTTATTTGCTCAGTTCTATTGATCCCAGTAAGGTGGCATTTTGTGGCTGGCAGCTGGTAATATTGTCAAATCAAATCAAATCATTTATTTCGGTCATTGACCAGCACTGGGTAATTTTGTCAGCGCCGGTTGTGTTTAAGTGCAGACCAGGGTCTTTAGGCACTGCACCCAGTGTGCTGATCACCACTGGGACCACCTTGACTGGCTTGTGCCAGAGTCTTTGCAGTTCGATCTTTAAATCCTCGTATCATTATCATTATTATTATTATTGACACAAAAGCACAGTATGTCACAGCAAATGAGATCTCTATGCTGGATTTCGTATCACAAAATCACAAGTCGAACACTTCCCAAGCGTCGATGTTTATTGTTATTGCGAAGACTGTAATTCCAACGATAGACAGGGTATAGGGTTTTTAACTTTAAAGATCCCACCTGCTGTCACCAATTGTACAGAGCGTTCTTAATTCTGCCACCAATTATACAGGTGTGGATGATTATGGATGTAATTTATCTCAGGCCTCAATTGTTGATAAGAATTTATTATAGGGGAGGCCAATTATTACTTGTAAATTAAGGTAACTGCCACCAACGTGAGGTATTGGAGGTACCACCGATGAGATCTGGCTCCACAGACGCAGATTAATGGAGATGAGACGGTCTTCAACAAAAGTTAACAAGTTTATTATGTACAAAGCGTATGGTTGCAGGCTGTTAAATAACTTTGAATAACTTATAGAACTTTGAAGAACACTTAGTTTGCAATACAGTCCACTCTTCTAGATGACACAACTCGTGATTTACTTTTACTGAGGTGAAGCACTTTAATAAACAATGTTTCCTAATGTGAATAGCCTTCCAATTTAATCTTTTCTTGATCAAATCCCTGATCTCTAGTCCTTCCCTGACTAGTGATCTTAACGAGCTTCCTTTAGTCTACTTTAACTAAAGAAACTGGCTAGGTTTCTCCCTTCAGCCTTCCTAGACTGAAAAACCTCCAGCTATTCACACACACTGCTCTCCACTCTCCGACTGCCTCTTTTCCAAAGACGCACAAAACATTTTTCTTGCTTGGCTCCGCCCACTTCTCACTCTCCTGCCTGATCTCCTTGGCAACCTCACTGTGGATACAACCAGTTAACTCTAGTTTCAGCTACTGTTACCAACACAAATATATTCTAACAGTTAAACATATACATAGTATCTATGACTTCTGCACAGTTATCATTGTTGTTATTATTATTAAATATATTATTATTAAATATACATCTCTCCTGAAGGAGACTCAAAGCATCTTAACATCAAAAAGGGAATCCTAAGTAAGAAGCCGCTGTAATGCCCATGCCTGCTCAATATATTAACCCACCAATATTTTCCCAAACAGATCCCACGATGCCGGGCAGCTGCGACTCGGTGGTCCGCCCGGGCGGCCTGGTGACCTTAAACGTGGGGGGCAAGCTGTACAGCACCACCTTGGAGACCTTGACCCGCTTCCCGGACTCCATGCTGGGCGCCATGTTCCGAGGTCCACAGCCAGCGCTGACCGACAGCCGCGGCAACTACTTCATCGACCGCGACGGCAAGGCCTTCCGCCACGTCCTGAACTTCCTCCGCTTCGGGCGCTTGGACCTCCCCGAGGGCTACGCCGAGCTCTCCCTCTTGCGGGCCGAGGCCGACTTCTACCAGATTCGCCCGCTGCTGGAGGCCGTGCGGAGAGTCGAAGTCGAGCGGTGGCGGCAAAGGACCAATGCCGTTCTGCATGCTGACATTGACCTCCGCCACCGCCGGCTGCACTACAACGTCCGCCGTGGGCCGCAGAATTACGAACTGGACTCTTGCTCCTTGGAAATATTCACCGCCAATGTTTTCTGCACCGACCGACACTTCCTCGCCATTCTGCGCAAGCGGTTGGGACAGCAAACTAATGTCGACGAAGATCCCGAAAGGGTTCACATTGAATCAACGGATTCCAGGCAACCGAGTCATGACTCGGTGGATGTCAAACTGGACGAGAGAAGCAACTCTCGTGCCAAAGCAGAGCAATGGAAGCGGCAACCCGACGGTTCAATCACCATTGACGAGTCAAGACTCATCCCAGACAACTCCATAGATGAAGACGATGAAATGATGTCAGACTATTCGGGCAGCACCGTGTGCCACCATCTCAGCCTCGAATGGGCGCCTTGCCCGCCCCAACTGCCGGCCACGGAATATGCCAAGCAAAAGCTCTATCCGCTCGTTGTCTCAGACGGCAAAGAGATGAGGACTACCCATGAATTCCTGGAAGAGGTCCTGAAAGTGGCCCTGGCCCACGGCTTCCGGGTGGATTCGGTCTTCCCCGACCCTGCCGACATCCTCAGTGCCCGCTCCTTGCGGTTCGTGCGGCATTGAAACGCCGCAAAGCATTGCAGAACAAAAAGTCTGGTGCGGAGAACGTCAAACCACCTTGGATCCAAACAGAGAGGGTAAGGGCACCATCAGGGGCACACAAAGAAGTAATTTCACATGTAATTAATATATAGAACTATGTCGAAATACATTACAAGTAAGTAATTACTTTTCAGATTTAATGACTATATAGAACTCTCATATATATGTGTGTGTGTGTGTGTGTTTGCATATATGTATCTTAATAAATCACAGGTAACTTAATTATATGTAACTACTTTTCAGATTTTCAGATAACGAACTTTGTAGATTATATATAATATAAAAATAATAAATATTTTATATAGATATGTATCTTAAGAAATTACAAGTAACTTAATTACATGCAACTAATTACTTTTCAAATTTAATTACTATACATAACTATATCTTGTATACAATATAAAAGTAATAAATATTTTATATAGATATGTATCTTAAGAAATTACAAGTAACTTAATTACATGTAACTAATTACTTTTCAAATTTAATTACTATACATAACTATATCTTATATATGATACAATTAATAATTTATATATATATGTATCTTAATCAATTACAAGTGATTTAATTACATGTAACTAATTACTTTTCAGCCGGTAGGCTGTTAGGAATTGTGGGAATTGTAGTCCAAAACTCCTGGAGGGCCCAAGTTTGCCCATGCCTGGTATACTGTTTGCCCATACAAGGCATGGGCAAACTTAGGCCCTCTAGGTGTTTTGGACTACAACTCCCACAATTCCTAACAGCCTACCGGCTGGGTTGTTATAGGTTTTTTCGGGCTATATGGCCATGGTCTAGAGGCATTCTCTCCTGACGTTTCGCCTGCATCTATGGCAAGCATCCTCAGAGGTCGTGAGGTCTGTTGGAACTAGGAAAATGGGTTTATATATCTGTGGAATGACCAGGGTGGGACAAAGGACTCTTGTCTGCTGGAGCTAGGTGTGAATGTTTCAACTGACCACCTTGATTAGCATATAATGGCCTGACAGTGCCTGGAGCAAACATTTGTTGAGAGGTGATTAGATGTGCCTGATTGTTTACACGAATCAAGGAACATGAAAGACTCTTGTCTGCTGGAGTTAGAATCATAGAATCATAGAATCAAAGAGTTGGAAGAGACCTCATGGGCCATCCAGTCCAACCCTCTGCACTGACAGGACATTATATGCTAAGTTAGGTGTGAATGTTTCAACTGACCACCTTGATTAGCATATAATGGCCTGACAGTGCCTGGAGCAAACTTTTGTTGAGGGGTGATTAGATGTCCTTGTTTGTTTCCTCTCTGTTGTTGTGCTGTTGTAATTTTAGAGTTTGTTAGGCTGTTAGGAATTGTGGGAGTTGTAGTCCAAAACACCTGGAGGGCCAAAGTTTGCCCATGCCTCATATAAGATGCACCTTTGGTGAAAACCCTGTGAGTGAGGCAGCAAAACGGCTGCATTCGAGTTCAGAAAAGCAACTCCCTTTTTGGGGACTGCAACTCCCATCATCCCTCAATTGGCATGAAACAAACCCTCTGTCCATTCCAAAGTGCACAGAGAACCTATTGAGAAGAGTTTGGGTCTTGACATGGGGTGGCACCCCTTTGCGGGGACTGGAAGCCAGATGGCGGGCACACTCTCTCAGCCTTTGTGCTTTGACAGGACGACAAGGAAGCCATTGTTGTTGATGTCCAGTTGCTTTTGTTAGTCCGGTTCAATTGAGCTCATGGTCTTTTTAACCCTTCTTTTCCCCCTTTCTCTTTTCTCCCTTCTTTTAGGTTCGACCAGATTGAAATGCATCCATGGATTGCATTGAGAGGATCCATTCCACAGAGAGGGGCATTATAGGCTGTATCCACACCATAGAATTAATGCAGTTTGGCACCACTTTAACTCCTATGGCCTAGTGCTATGGGAGCTGTAGTTTGGTGAAGCCCCATCACTCTTCAGCAGACTAGGCTCGAGACCTTGTCAAACTACAACTTTCCAGCTTTCCAAGTCTCACTCTTTGTGTAGAGATTATTCCAAGCTTCCAATGCTAGATATCCATTACAGGGGTTGAATGAAAAGTAATGCCTCCACCTTCGTTACTTGGGTTTGGATGGGAATATTTTAATAAATCAAACGCAGAAATAATCCTCAGAACATGCTCTTCAACTGCCACTATTCACTTTTCGACATAATCAATTGGATTTTCGACATAATCAATTCGACAATTGGATACATTTCTGCCAATGACCGAACAAGTTTTCTGAAGCCGTCACGGGAGAAGTCGACACTCTGTTTCCGCAACTCATCGTTCACAGATCTTCCCATTTGTTGTTGTTCATTCGTTCAGTCATTTCCGACTCTTCGTGACCTCCTGGACCAGCCCACGCCAGAGCTCCCTCTCGGCCATCACCACCCCCAGCTCCTTCAAGGTCAATCCAGTCTCTTCAAGGATGCCATCGTCGATTAGTTGTTCATTCATTCAGTTGTTTCCGACTCTTCATGACCTCATGGACCAGCCCACGCCAGGGCTCCCTGTCGGCCGTCACCACCCCCAGCTCCTTCAAGGTCAATCCAGTCTCTTCAAGGATGCCATCGTCGATTAGTTGTTGTTCATTCATTCAGTCATTTCTGACTCTTCGTGACCTCATGGACCAACCCACGCCAGAGCACCCTGTCGGCCGTCACCACCCCCAGCTCCTTCAAGGTCAATCCAGTCACTTCAAGGATGCCATCGTGGAGCCCCCCGTGGCGAAGTGGGTTAAACTCCTGTGCTGGCAGGACTGAAGACCGACAGGTCGCAGGTTCGAATCCGGGGAGAGGCGGATGAGCTCCCTCTATCAGCTCCAGCTCCTCATGCGGGGACATGAGAGAAGCCTCCCACAAGGATGATATCAATTCATCCGGGTGTCCCCTGGGCAACGTCCTTGCAGACGGCCAATTCTCTCATGCCAGAAGCGACTTGCAGTTTTTCAAGTCGCTCCTGACACGACAAAAGAGGATGCCATCCATCCATCTTGCCCTTGGTCGGCCCCTCTTCCTTTTTCCTTTCATTTTCCCCAGCATAACTGTTTTTTCTAAGCTTTCCTTTCTTCTCATGATGTGGCCAAAGTAGTTCATCTTGGCCCTCTACTATTTGAAACTATATTCCGATAGCCAAGCAAAGTAATAATGACTGCACATTGCTTAAGTTGCATTGACCGAGAGTCTGCACAGGGTTCCATACTTGACACTTTAACAACCCAACCGTTCAGTGCTAAGGCTTCCTGCCAAAATCTGTAGAGGAGAGTCTACTGAACAAGCCAGTACCTACCACATACCAGTACTGCCATCTGTTGAGAAGTTATGATGGTGGAGGCATTACTTTTCATTCAACCCTCATATAATTTTTTTTAAAAGCCCCTTGGAGATGATCTCAGAGGCCCAAAAGTACCTCTGACCCCAGGGTTCCCAATCTGGTTTGGAGTAGTGGATGCCTCTTCTTGCCCAAATGGAACTGTAGAGGAGAGTCTACTAAACAAGTCAGTACCTGCTGCATACCAGAACTCCCATCTGTTGAGGAGTTACGAAAGTGGAGGCATTACTTTTCATTCAACCCTCATATAATTTTTTTAAAGCCCCTTGGAGATGATCTCAGAGGTCCAGGGTTCCCTATCCGGTTTGGAGTAGTGGATGCCTCTTCTCGCCAAAATGGAACTGTAGAGGAGAGTCTACTGAACAAACCAGTACCTGCCGCATACCAGTACTGCCATCAGTTGAGTTACGAAAGTGGAGGCATTACTTTTCATTCAACCCTCATATTTCCAGTCTGGACAATGGGTCCCACACCTCTCAAAGGCAGACACAGCAGCCAACCTTGAATTTTGAACCCCACCCATCCCAGCAATTCTCTCTTCCTCTCTGCGCTGGTCTGTGATGTCAGGAGGAAGTCTCAGCCAATGAGAAGGCAGATCCTAGGAGGTACGTCTCCTGACCAACCAGGGAAGAGAGCGGGAAGTTTGAATAGCTGCCAAACTTCATAAAATGTGCTCCACTTTCCTGTACGAGTTATGTCACTTCTTTTGGCGATTGCACTGTTCTGTCATCCACCTGGCCAGGTGAATAAACTTCTGTTATTGCCTTCAAACCTGGTCATGTTTTTCCTGGCTTTCAAAGTAGGCAATGGACCTACACTGCCCCCTGGTGGCAGCTCGTTTGGGTAACACCCACATCCTAGCACTGAGCTATGGCAACTAAAGTAGTGTAAAACTGCCTTCGTTCTACAGTGTAGATGCACAGAAGTGTAGATGCAGGAGTAAGAGAGAGAAACTGAACGAAAGAGAGTGAAAAGGAGTAAAAGAAAGCAAGCATGAGAGTAAAAGAGAAGGAGTGTGTGAAAGAGACAAAGAAAAAATGACAAAAGTGAGAGAAAGAAAAAATAATAGAGAAAGAATAAGAAAGGGAAAGAAAGAAAGAAATAGTAATGAGAAAGAGCGAGAAAAAAAGAGCAAGAAAGAAAGAAATAATAACGGGAAAGAGAGCAAGGAAAAGAGAGAGAGAAAGGGAGTGAATGTGTAAGAGGGGGACCAAAAGAAAGAGCAATAAAGAACAAAGAGAAAGGGAATGAAAGAGTAAAAGGAAGAAAGCATGAGAGTTAAAAGAGATGGAGAGAAAGAGAGAGAAAAAGAAAGAAAGAAAGAGTCCCTTCATGGAGAGGGGGTGGGATACAAATAAAGTGTATTCTCGTTAAGAGAGAGAAAGAGTGAAAGAAAGAAACAGAGGGATAAAAAGGAATAAAGAGAAAGAGTGAAAGAAAGAAAAAAGGAGAAAGAATGAGAGAAAGGAAGTGAATGAGTAAGAGGGGGAAAGAAAGAATAAACAGTAAAAGAATGAATGAAATAGAGAGAAAAAGAATGAGAAAGAGTGAAAGAGAGGAAGACTTCAGGGAGAGTGGGCTAGATAGTAAAAGAAAACAGTAAAAGAATGAAAGAAAGAGTGAAAGAGAGAAAGACTTCAGGGAGAGTAGGCTAGATACAAATAAAGCTTATTATTATTATCATCATTATTATTACTAAGAAAGAGAAAGAGTGAAAGAAAGAAATAGATCAAGAAAAAGTAATAAAAAGAAAGAGTGAAAGAAAAGAAAATAAGGGAGAGAAAGAAAAAAGGGAGAGAAAGGGAGTGAATGAGTAAGAGAGGGGGAAAGAAAGAACCAAGAAAGTAAAAGAAAGCAAGCATGAGAGTAAAAGAATGAGAAAAAGGGTGAAAGAGTGAAATAAGAGAGTGAAAGAAATAGAAAGAATGAATAAAGAGAAAGGGAGTGAAAGAGAGAAAGGGAGTGAATGAGTAAGAGAGGGGAAAGAAAGAATCAAAGTAAAAGAAGGCAAGCAGAGTAAAAGAATGAGAGAAAGTGAAAGAAGAGAATGAGTGAAAGAAATAGAAAGAGGATAAATAAAGAGTGAAAGAAATAAAAAGAAAGAGTGCGAGAAAGGGAGTGAATGAGCAAGAGAGGAAAAGAATCAAGAAAGTAAAAGAAATTAAGCATGAGAGTAAAGAGTGAAAGAAAGAAAGGGAAATGAAGATAGAGTGAAAGAGAAAGAGTGAAAAAGAAAGGGAGTGAATGAATAACAGGAGGAAAGGAACAGAATAAAGAGAACGAGTGAATGCGTAAAAGCAAGCATGAGAGTAAAAGAATGAGGGAAAGTGAAAAAGAAAGAAGAGAGGAAGAAAGAGCAAAAGAGAGAAAAAGAAAGAGAGTGAAAGAAAGAGGGTTAAAGAAAAACAGTGTGAAAGGAAGAAAAAGCAAAAGAGGGAAAGTGGAAGAGAGATAAAAAGAGAGGAAGAAGGAAAACAAGCAAGCAATAAACTAGACACGGAAAGAAAGACATTTTTTCCTTATCTCTCGACTGGATGTTTTTCCAAACAGTAGTTTATGGCAGACGCTTCCTTTCCCAAGTCGGAAGAACAGGTTTGGAAGATGGTGTCAAGCCCCTTTGCCCTAAAGCTTGCAGGGAATGCATGCAATGCGACAGGAGTTAAAGCAGGCAATTGCAAACTTCAGCCCTCCAGGTGTTTTGGACTACAACTCCCACAATTCCTAACAGCCTTGTGGGAGTTGGAGTCCAAAACACCTGGAGGGCCAAAGTTGGCCCATGCCTGAGTTAAAGGCACACAAACATATATGCACTATGTTCCCCATCCCTGAAGTGGGTTGGACTACATGACCTTTGGAGTCTCTTTGTCTATGATGTCACACTGCTTATCTAGCTTTCATTTCCGTCTGGGTGTATATACGCCACAGTTAAAATTCCTTTGTTTTTATCTTGCAACGCCTCCGGAAAAAAGGGCTGGGTCCAGTTCGGCTTGCCAAATTTCAAGGCCCGAGCCTCCACTTTTCATAGATAATAGTAATAATAATAATAATAATAATAATAATAATAATAATACTTTATTTATCTCCAGAATAGCTGTCTTGGGGATTCTGGGAGATGCAGTCCATTAAAAAACACACCTTTGACCCAGAAGTAGCACCTTACAGCATTTGGGGAATAAAGGTGCCAAGGTTAAATCTCAGGTACACCTTCAAGTTTCCATACATAGCTGGTTGGGGGATTCTGGGAGCTGCAGTCTCAAAAGGCCCCTTTGTTTATTTGTTTATTTATTTACTTTGCTTCTATACCGCAATTCTCAGCCCGAAGGCGACTCACCGCGGTTCACAACACACAAAAACAGCAAAAATCCAATGCATCAATATAAAAACAGTTAACGACCTAATCTAATACACAGTTAATACACAACTAGTATAATAACCATTCACTAGCGTCTCATCACTAAAATCACGATCCAGATTCGTCATCCATTGTTCCATTCCTATGTCATCACCGATCATTGTACTAATTATTCGAACGCCTGCGCAAATAACCAGGTCTTTACTTTTTTGCGGAATACCATTAGAGATGGTGCCAATCAAATGTCTGAAGGAAGGGCGTTCCACAGCCGGGGAGCCACCACCGAGAAGGCCCTATCTCTCGTCCCCGCCAGCCGAGCTTGTGAGGCTGGCGGGATCGAGAGCAGGGCCTCCCCGGAAGATCTCAAAGTTCTGGTGGGTTCATAGGCCGAGATGCGGTCGGATAGGTAGCTTGGGCCGGAACTGTTTAGGGCTTTAAAGGTCAACGCCAGCACTTTGAATCGAGCCCGGTAGCAAGTCGGTAGCCAGTGGAGTTGGCGCAACAGGGGGGTTGTATGCTCCCTGCGCTCCGCTCCTGTTAGAATCATGGCTGCCGAGCGTTGGACTAGTTGAAGCTTCCAAGCCGTCTTCAAAGGCAACCCCACGTAGAGAGCGTTGCAGTAGTCTAGGCGGGATGTAACCAGAGTGTGGACTACTGTGGCCAAGTCAGACTTCCCAAGATACGGGCGCAGCTAGCGCACAAGTTTTAACTGTGCAAATGCTCCCCTGGTCACTGCCAAAACCTGGGGTCTGGAAGTTATAGTCTGCAGCATTTGGGGGGAAATGGACCAAGAAGCCTTTCTGGTTTGTTGTGCTTTGATTCAGACATCTTTTTCAGACTATAGCTTGCTTCCAAACCCGAAATTATGGCATTGGAGGGCTCCATAGAGGATTATTATTATTATTACTATTGAACTGGAGGACTCCACATGGGTTGTTGCTGCTGTTATTACTATAATAATAATAATAATAATAATAATAATAATAATTATTATTATTATTGAACTAGAGGGATCCACAGAGGTTATAGATCAGGGATCCTCGAACTAAGGCCCGGGGGCCGGATACGGCCCTCCAGGGTCATTTACCTGGCCCTCGCTCAGGGCCAACCTAAGTCTGAAATGGCTTGAAAGCACACAGCAGCAACAACAACAACAATCCTATCTCATCAGCTAAAAGCAGGCCCACAATTCCCATTGAAATAGTAATCTATATATATAAATTTGTTAGGGGCATCCAACGAGGAAACAAAACTCAAAAACCCCCCAACGAAACTTAACCAAAATTCCCATGCCCATAACACAACCCACAAGGTACAAACATATCTACTCAAAATGAAAAACAACACAACAACACACTCACAAAACGGCAAAACAACAAAACTCAAAAAAACCCCAACGAAACTTAACCAAAATTCCCATGCCCATAACACAACCCACAAGGTACAAACATATCTACTCAAAATGAAAAACAACACAACAACACACTCACAAAACGGCAAAACAACAAAACTCAAAAAACCCCAACGAAACTTAACCAAAATTCCCATGCCCATAACACAACCCACAAGGTACAAACATATCTACTCAAAATGAAAAACAACACAACAACACACTCACAAAACGGCAAAACAACAAAACTCAAAACCCCCCCCAACGAAACTTAACCAAAATTCCCATGCCCATAACACAACCCACAAGGTACAAACATATCTACTCAAAATGAAAAACAACACAACAACACACTCACAAAACGGCAAAACAACAAAACTCAAAAACCCCAACGAAACTTAACCAAAATTCCCATGCCCATAACACAACCCACAAGGTACAAACATATCTACTAAAATGAAAAACAACACAACAACACACTCACAAAACGGCAAAACAACAAAACTCAAAAATCCCCCAAACGAAACTTAACCAAAATTCCCATGCCCATAACACAACCCACAAGGTACAAACATATCTACTCAAAATGAAAAACAACACAACAACACACTCACAAAACGGCAAAACAACAAAACTCAAAAATCCCCCAACGAAACTTAACAAAATTCCCATGCCCATAACACAACCCACAAGGTACAAACATATCTACTCAAAATGAAAAACAACACAACAACACACTCACAAAACGGCAAAAGAACAAAACTAAAAAAAACCCCAACGAAACTTAACCAAAATTCCCATGCTCATAACACAACCCACAAGGTACAAACATATCTACTCAAAATGAAAAACAACACAACAACACACTCAAAATGGCAAAAAAAACAAAACTCAAAAAAACCCCCAACGAAACTTAACCAAAATTCCCATGCCCATAACACAACCCACAAGGTACAAACATATCTACTCAAAATGAAAAACAACACAACAACACACTCACAAAACGGCAAAACAACAAAACTCAAAAAT